TTTCTGAACGAATTCTTCACGGTAAACGGTCACACTACGCCCAAATCACGAACAGCAATGCTTCATTCAACCCTATCCTCCAATGCGGATACCCCAGTGCACGGTCATTTTGAGGGATGCGCCTACTCCGCCGACGTATGGCCAACTGGGTAGAGACAGCATGTAATGGTCATGTTGTTAGGAAGGAACAGCAGTCGGTCCTGATATAGGTGTGTGATACATAGTCCTATGGTTTGCGAAGTGGCGAATTGTTGGCTCCCAGAACGTTTTTCCCTAAAGAGTACGGATGCAGACTATCCAGGAAGTAATAAAAGACGAAGAAAAGGGGGTAAAGTCAGGGCTGGGGACGCAATGAGCCTCAGGCTGTCAACGTCCAAGATGGTTGACATTGAGTTCTGTATCCAGGTCACCGGCCCGAATACTCTTTTCATATATCAATCACTGCGAGTCCTGTCCGATGGTGCCCTCTCACCAGGCTTCTCCCGTTCGAGCTGTGGTCAGCCCTTGATACGGGCGCTTCTTTGCTGTAGAGCCTGACTTCTAGCTTATTCTCATTAATATAATGAACTATACTCGCTCTCTCAAACTCCGAGTCTCTCGCGATATCTACTGTCTAATCGGACTTCTACGGTACTAGTACTTTCTGAGTGAACTGATTCAAGAGCATTGTCGCCGCTATCTTGCTCGTGCTGCTCTCTACCAAGCCTAGCACGCCCCACAGCACGATTCCGGATGCTGTAAGGTCTTGATGATAGGCCCTCAGGTTCGAGATATAAATTGTAACCAGGGCTGTACAAACATCTCGCCGTTTCTTTCTTTCCTACCCCCATCTCCACCATGCCTCACAATTCCAGCATCGATAAATGGATCCAAAGCGCAAAATTCATTACGACCGTGGGTGAAATGGCACCATTTCCGTATATTAAAGGTGCAGCCGGATGCGTGGTAATCATTCTAGAGGCAATAGAGGTACATTCTGTGATCTCTGCCATACCTTCTTTTCGTTGAGCAAGCATATCAGAAAGCGGAAAAGAACGACGAGGACCTTCGAGCACTGGCAGATGATATCGGGACGACCATGAGGATCGTTAAAGAAACTATCGAATCGCACGGCATTTCCAGCGCAACCCACTTCCAAGCTGTGTGTGGCGACTTTCAGACGTGAGGATGTGTGCCAATCATTGAGCCTGTACTGAAACAATAACCCACACAGCTATCTCGAGAATCTACTGTCGAATCTGGACATTACCCAACGTAACCTGAATGATAAACGGTACAAGCGTTTCCTGAAGGCTCTGAAGGCAAGAAGAATTGCGGATACTATCAACGACTTCAAGCAACGGATATCCAATATCAAATCAGATTACATTGTAAGCACTGGAAGCATATCTATGGATACATATTTGACTTTGATTTCTTCGAAGGTTCGTGGTATTACAGAATTGCAGTTAGAGGTGCCAGTGATGCAAGATGTTTTGAGCACCCGGATCACCGAGGCTGTGGAGACGTCGCAATTCTGCATCACATCCACTGTTGAGTCTCGATCGGATCGTATCATCAACGAGATACGCAATCTGCGAGAGATTCAAAGGGAGCACATGACTAAGACCTGCACAAGAGTTCAGGATAGGTATGGATACTACAAAGGAATGGTAAGACACTTTAGTATCATTCGCAATGCAGTTACATGATCCTCTGGCAGTTTCGGGATCTTGCACCTGGTGACATCTACCTCATCAAAATGGACCCTCATGATCGCCAACATGGCTACTGCACCGTCGAGAACAGTAACACACACAAGCTCATTCACATATACAAGTCACGTATTGGTAATGAAGAGGAAGTAATGAAGGTGAGCATAGTCTACAATGTATTCTGTGTAATTGGCAATGTACACATACTTTGTTTTCTAGCAACTTGATCATGACATTGATATCTTCATCAGACCCAGGCTCGGCCCTCCATATATATATAGCCGCATACTAAGACTGACCTTTTGACTGTCTATGTAGACATCCAAATATTGCTCAGGTCTTTGGTGTATGTCGATCACCGAGCCTTCCAGCAATAATATTTCATGGTAAGTGTTTGGTCCTTCCAAGCTGTCTTTCATCTTGTAATTTACTGATGTGAGTAGGCTCAATGCAGGTGCCTGTTGACAAATATCTGGATAGCCAACCTGTGCAGGACCTGATACCTGTTCTCACCAATCTTGTACAATATTTCTCTCCTTCTATTCTAAGCAATGTGGCTGACCTCCTTCTGTTTGCAGTTTCGTGATATACCAGTGTGTCCCATGCTAGAGCTCAAAGGCTAAAGCTGAAGGCATTTTTCTAGTCTATCTTAGCTCATTTAGCAGAGCATTACCACAACCCAGAAGATCATATAGATGTTAGTGAATTCATGAGTTGTCTTTCCTACATACTAAGTTTATGGACTTCCAAGGAGCATGGGACTGGTATCTATGTCAATGAGCATGGCAGACTTTTATTAGTGAATATAATTCACCCATATGTCATCATGACAACCTGGTATTCCTATGACCGTCATATTGATCCCCTCCAGAGTTATTGGAATCTCCACACACCAGGCCTGGCACTGATTCATCTTTGTGACATTTGGGGTGGATTGCCATGGATGGCTTTGTTGGCAGCTTATGACTCTATCTGCACCTGCCAGATTGAGAGATATCAGGTTCAACCCTTCCACCAGCAAGGCCAGCATTATATGCCAGGGAGTATATTAACTGCCCATGGACAGACTTTGGTTGGTGGGATTCAAGATAAGTCACAGTTGTCTGAATGGGATGTGTGGTGGAGAGGACCATCATATTTATCTGAAGACATGGCACCATTCATTTTCCATTTACCTTCTACAGATTGGTTTGTGGCCTCTTTGACCTTTGATTTCCCTGCTAATTGTTGGCTGTAGTGGACCAATTGTTATAGACCCTCTTGTTCATCCAATTCAGGAATTCAAGGGAAATACAATTCCTATATTACATGCTGGAACAGTGCCCCACTATTTGGAGATTTGTTTGCATTCACATATTGCAATCTCAAGCTCATGGATAGCACAAGCTTCCCACTTAGATACTTCCCTTCGCTCCAGAGGGTGCATAGATAATGATGGTCTTTATCAAATATGTGAGCATCTATATCTTCAACTAAAAATAGACTGATATGACATGTCTATATGGATACATAGATGGTTATTTTTCTGTTCTCATTGAACCGCTGGACAAGCATGGCAAGCATTTTCATCTCTGTGACACATTCATGGTGGAAGACATCCATATGCTCTCGCTGTTTATTAGTCCTCCTGTTGTTGACTACTCAAGCCACAAAATATCAGTGATGCCTGTCCTCACTTGGCTCTATGATGGAGACTTGGAGATATCCTTGGATGAAGCAGAACAAGTGTTTGGCTTCAAGCTCATAACTTCATGGGTTTCATGGTCATCACTATGTTCATCATCATTAGCAGCTATACCCAAGTTAAATGTTGAGCATGGATACAATCTGGCAAAGGGAGGGACTGATATATGCGAGTTTTTTGGATGGCCAGTCCTGGAGCTATTTGATGTGCCCAAGTCTATGGAATGTGAAGGTAAGCAGATACTTGGGCAATGGCAGTTGTAACTGATAAATATGAGACAGAATGGATGACAAGCAACACTGCATCCAAGTCCTTGGAGTCTCAGTTAATAATCATATCAGAGGGTGCACAACAGACATTGTGTGAAGATGTACTGCTAGCAGGTTCTCCATGGCATGATGTCGAGTATGTGGTCATGGAGAGAATTGAGGAAGTGGATGCCAATAATGAGGCAACCAAGATGAACATCACTGCTGCCATGCAGCACAATGTGTATCCCAGATGCTCAGAGTTACTCATTGTGGTCATTACTGCTATTGTCACTCTTCTGCTGGCATTGTTTGTTCAGATCTACTTACATCAATGATAGACATATGTACAATACATCTCTGAACTATGTTCCTATTTCATTTGTATCGTGTACAACAAGAGATCGGATTTACCATTAGAGCATATACAGATCAGATCAATATTTGAAGTAATGGCTATGTGGCCTCAATATGACAAGCAGCAAACTATGGCATGTACAGCTTAGCAGGAGGACACCATCTTGGCCAGCTACCTAGTGTCATGGTGTGCAACAGGATGAAAATGTAACATCTCTTGCAATGAAACACATTAGTACTCTGGTTTGAGCTAGAACCCATCAGAATGTACCTTCAGCACAGCCAACCAACATTCACGATGCAAGTAATTTTCCATAGTTACTAGTAATCCTCAAGACTGAACATTGTCCTCATGAGGTTGGCCACATGGAGGACTCTTCCTCTAAGAAAGCACTGGAGGGTATAACCAGAAGCAGATGCTAGGTGTGTTGAGGCTGTGCATGGCTCAGTAAGGTGTAGCAACTATACCAAAGGTAAGCACAGGTACAGAAACAAGGATGCAGGACATACCCTGTCCAATTGCATCCAGTATCAAACAAAATTGTATATCTATGTATCATTATCCATCATTGTCATGTAGCTCGTCCATCCAGAACACCTTGTGTTGCAGAAAATCCGTTGTCTCCCTTCAATTGCTTGCTTTTTGAGGTGTGTTTGGTGCCATACCTGTGCTTGAGGACACAATTATTGATGGAGAATCCTGCATGAAATGCCATACTAGAGATATCTGCAATACAATATATTTGCATGAGTCTCAAAATGAGGATGCGACATACAGAATATCTTCTTCAATTCAGCTCTTCACAGCTTTCTTGTGCCTTTTGTATCTTCCAATTGTCAACACATATCGAGCTCACTGTTAATCAGTGTATGCCCTTCATCACTGACTTTTACAGCACCCACACGTAGCTAAGCCGGGTGTATAGGCACACAAAGCAGCAGTGAGGTGCGAAAGGACAGGCCCGTGCCAGGTGATGAGTATATTCGTCATAGCAGCCAAAACGTACAGAGTTGTTGGTTGGTATTGCTTAGGGGTTAAAGCACTTCATTGTGGAACACAATCTGAAGAGCCGCTAGTTCGATTCCAGCTACCGACATGGTCGTTGTCTGTCTTCCAACCGTGTCATTTTGCTCATCCATCCCATCAAGACTCAGGAGTCAGGACTCAAGAAGCGTAAAGTTGTGACACAATAACTCTTCATATTGAATATTTTTGGTGCGTATGTAGACGTGGGAAGAGACGGAGATTCGGCCAAATCCGTATAGTTCAGAATCAGCTCGTAGATTGGACACACTATTAGGATATCACAGGATATATTTCAATATAGCAAAACGTCATGAACATTCATTCTCTTGATATGCTTCTTGATCGTACTCAACCTATTTGGCCTGCCCTCTGTTGGCCAATCACGAATACGGACAGAGCATTAAACACAGTCACTGTCACTTAGTATTTGCGCTCGAAGCTTCTGGAAGTTCTCAGGATTGGATGCGTTCTTATTGCAGTCATATAGATGTCGTACCTGCGCAGCAGTAAGTCAAGATCATGAAAGGGCGATGGATAGAACCCACGAAAGCAAGGCGTCCTATATGACGACATCCCCTTGGTGTCGCCTATTCTGCACCGATAACGGAATCGAAATTCGTCTGTGTCGCACTGCACACCGTCCGAGCCGTCGTATCAGGGTCGGCAAACACCGCGTATAAATTCCACCACGATCCTCGTCAAGTCTAGGTTGATGGACAGAACTGAGAAATTAGACAATTCACGAAATTACCTCTGTGCATATACCGCTCCCGAAGACTCGGAAGTTCTTTCGGGATCTCTTAATAGACCGGTCATGCAATTCGTGCCCGTACTTAGATCACCGGTAGTGGTATTGAAATCTAGAGTCAAAACAAGCCTAAGGAAAAACAGTCCATAAAAATATCAGACCACGTGCGAGCGTGACAGATTTCAAGTCCTTTCCGGCCCGATTCAACAGTTTGCGGCTCCGTCATTGCTGGAAGGTCGTCGGAAATTCTCTCGGGTCATCATCTCCAACTGGCTTGGAATCTGACTATCTGCCAAAGAATCTAAATAATCTCAAGCTATCAATCAACCTGTCTACTCGGCGTGCCTTTCTCTTGGTTTTTACGGGTAACGATCCCATTCAGTGACGCAATCTCATTTCTCATGCGCTGCCCTAGGCATTTCCGATGCCACGGCATCTAGAATTTACAAGAATTTGCTAGCTCTTCTTAGGATTCGTGAATCTACGAGACCGTAGCAATTCCATCGTTGCGGCCAAGTTACCAACTTCGAAGTTATTTACAAGGTGGGTTCAAGTTGACTAATACTTTGTCTACGGCTCTGTCAACTGAACGGTCCAATTCAATTAAGTGGCTCTCTTCATACTTGACCCAGCCATGTCAGGGCTTCCGCAGGAACTGGTCGACGACATCGTGGACAGACTTCACGACGATCCGACGGCGCTAAAAGTTTGCTCCCTTATCTGCCACGCTTTCTGTGCCAGGTCTAGGAGACATAGCTTCGGCACCATTTCTCTTATAGATGAGAAGCGCTGTACTGATTTCTGCGATTTATGTCAAAAATCGCTGTATATATCCGGAAGCGTCGCCGTACTGCATGTCTCCACCTACGGCGTCGTTGACACGCTTCTCGACTTCCAGGTCATCCGGTTGTTTGTAAACCTCCATTCCGTCACCTTTCGCAGCGTCGACTTCAACAGACTCCCCTACAATTGCTTCTCCGCCATTTCATCTATCCGAAGCATTACTCTAGCAGGGGTTACATTTCGAGATATCGTGCATTTCAGCACTTCCTTATCATTCCTCACCTTCTTGAAGAAGATGGATGTCTACGTTATCACTATTAGTGTGGCAGGACAGGCACTGCCGAATTCGCACAGCGCTCTTAGGCGCCCTCGTGTTCAAGAACTAAAGCTTTCTTGCAATCTACGTGATGGTCCAGTTCTAGAAGCATTCGCCAATGGGGATTTAATATCATTCAGAGGCCTGCGTAATCTGTCAACCATGTTTTGTCCGCAAGATATTTTGCACCTTGAAAGACTGATCCAAACGCCATCCCTTCAAGTACTAGGTGTCAGAGCTCTCCAGCCTGCAAGTTCGTAGCCTTATCATTTTCAAGCGCAAAAAAAATCTTTCTCTTACATATTTTCAGACTTGGGATCACGGGATCCTCTATCTCTGGGCAATGTTCATACCCTTCTGCTACAAATCAACTGGTACCCCGATGACTCTCATATCTCTGCAGTACGATGGTGGACGAGATGTTTGGCGATAAGCCCTTCCTTGCAAAAAGTCACCGTCTTATATGACACTCGTCCTCCATTCAGCAATTCAGACCAGCCGAGCAATAACAATAACGAAGACTACGCAAGGCTCACTTGGATGAATTTGGATAGAGTATTGTCGGAAAAGACACCTTTCACGTTGCAGAGCTTTCGTATGACGCTTTGTACCGATATTGTGGCAAAGGAAGACAAATTGGACCTGAAAGAGTATATGGAGAATATGTTCCCGGGTATACAAGCACGGTGCAAACTCCGGGTGGACGTGGTTAAGGAATTTCGCTCCGAAACCACTCGGTGATTGCCCCCAACGAACCTCTCTTTGTCACATACATATTTGGCTTTCTGCTATTATTTTGGTGCGTCTCATGGCAATTTAACCAGAATATGAAATTTTTTCTCACAAGCCACATGCAGAATATCAACAAACAATACATAACCGCTACGGCCTAAGACAGGGCTTGTACATTTACAGGCCATATTGGTGGAAATTGAATACAAGAAGCTGAGCATTCGGTTCCCACTTCGCGCCGCCCATATGACCTTGAAGACGACTCTTTCACGACGCTAGTAACCAAGTCTTAATTAAATAACGCGCCTTTCTGGGACTTGGCCTAGACCCATAATGCACGACCGGGGCATCCGGATGGATGATCGCCGCCTCCCTTCTGGGAAAGCATTTTGCCCCACGGTGACCAAGCAGCAGACGCAATCGACATCGCAGAGTACCACAGCCTAAGAAGAAGGTAAATATCCAGAAAGCAGTCGTTTGAGTATTCTGAGCCATACCATATGTATATCAGCGGAAATTCTTACTCTGCCAGCAACGTCCGACTGATGATAAAAGATATTCCTCCTCCTCGTGTCTTTGTCTGTCCTAGTCGTCAGGCTCTCCCCAGATCCCATTCCTGCACCAGAGAATCGTTCTTCTTTCCGCCATATAGGCGGAATGACAATGTTTCGTTCTCTCTGTCATCCTCGTCGATGATGGCTCCCGTTGCAGAGTCGCAGGGATGCAATGTGTAGATCGCCCTCTCCGAGGTAGCATGCAAGTGAACCGTAACGACGGCGTAACTATCGGCTCTATAGTATCAGTAAGCGGCGGCGTGGAGTACTGAAAGGCAGGGATGAGCTTGACAGTGGACAGCGAGAGCCTGAGCCTCATTGACGATCCGTAGGGTGGTCACCACGGCAGCACAGCATGCTATAGTATACCGGAGGTCTTGGTAACTGGCCATGTCTTGCCGTTATTGAAGCGTGACGATTAGACCCTCTGACGGAGCGGTCTAGCTTGGTCGGCCAGCTGTGGTGGAAGCTGGCAGGAAACGCGGTGCCAGGTGGCTCTTGAGTATCAATCGAAATCACTCGGCTTTTGTATTCCAGGGTGTTCATGCGTGTTTTCCCACTAAAACAACGCCAGATATTACCGCGCGCTATCCGTGGCATAACACGTTTTCTTGTCCTGATGACGCGTTCCATGCCACAACGCTTGATGGTGTTCCGGAAGGGGTTGCCAGACCCAATCCGAAGAGCAACAGCAATGTCTCGGTAACTTCCATGGCGCAGTGCACAAGTTGGCTTCCAGTCCAGGCATCGCATACTAAGTAATTATGATGTTGTCATACTTTCGCTCCTGGAAACCTATAAAAGTAGGCCGGTGTTGAACTGAAGTCCTCATCAAACAAACACCCCATCAGATATGTGCCATCGCAGAATCAGCTCAACCAGATTTGTCTGTGGCCACGACGCTCCTCACGGCGACCAACGGGTCAGTCATGAAGCCTCCTCCATTAAAGCTACTGCTATCTCACGCACTTCGTAGATTGACTGCCGTTCCAGCAAGTGCAGATATAGCTCACATCACTATTCTATCAGTCACGAGTGCAGAAAGAGCTGCCGGCAATGGTTGGTTATCTGTCCATCTAGTCCCGTCTCTGATCAGTTGCTGACGAATACGTATAGGCTGCGGCCATCGCAGAATGTGGTTACAAAGAAGGCAGATTCACTTTGCTATCATTGCAAGTTAGATGGTGGAGTCCAACAACCTTGAGCTCAAGGCTCCGAACTTTCAGGGGTCTGGGTAATCCCTGAAGATATTGTTTTCTTCCTTTGCGGTATTGTTCCTGTGTAGTCATAAGATAGTTGGTAGACTATAGCGAACACTTGAAATGGACTCACTTTACTCTATCACGCCTGGAAAACATGCTATGAACGTTAAAAGCTTCGACTTTGAAATTTGCCCGATCTTATCGATTCACGTGATCGTATCTTCCATAAAAATGTTCTGATTATCAAAAATCAAGAAGTGGACAAGTTGGAAAATTAGTGCTAGGGCTAGAATGGAAAAAATGAAAGTCGAAGAAAATATATCTAGCATCATCAGGACGCGTCCCACCATATTCTCGTGATCCTATTTTCAATCGTCCTTCATTAAGGGAGGCCACATAAAGCAACTCCATCACATCACGGAAGCGTGGCAACAACGCTTTAGGTAGTTATCAAGGGACAAAACATTTTAGGCCCGAGATCTTTCTGGTCTCCAATCGCTGGCGAAGCAACAGATCCTGAGTCCTCGAGGTTTTCGTGCTAACACGCTGCATCACTGCGCTGGATCAGATTCAATTTACAAGCAGCGTGCATAGCCAACGCATTGATTGATGCGAGGCGACCGTCAGAACCGAAACGGCACTAAGTAAAAGAAACAATAACACAGGAAAAACGAAACAAGGACAAAGACAGGCCAGTGAGGCGGTCAGGGATTTCCTTTTCGCTCTTTCCGTGGT